CACATGGTGTGTGGTCTTCTGTGTCTGGCTCCCTTCCTTAGTGCAATGATGTTTTTGAGACTCACCCAGATGATAGTGTTGATCGGGTTGTGATTTCTTTACATGTTTCCTCTTTGTGAGTAGCAGTTCAGTGTGTCACTAGTATTTTCAGTATGTTAGAATTCTTTCTTACCCTTGTCCAGCATATAAGGCTTGATTTGCTCAAAATTGTCTTCCTCCTGATCCCTTCCCATTCTAGTTTATTCCTAAAGAACTGCTTTTGCTTTTTTCTTTCTGTCCCCATACTCTCGCCTCTAAAATTTTCATTGTTTCACTTTGTTTTATGCCCATGTGAAAGTATAATAAGAGGAACTTAGTACTGTTTGCTTCCAATGGAAAATCAGTTGAGTTAGCACTGTACATCAAATAAACCATATTTCCCTACAGGATTCAAATACTGTCTTTGAGTTCTCTTACAGAGAATATAATTTATAAACTGCAAAGGATATGATTGTTTTCTATTCTTAAAACAACCACAGCATGTTTTGTATGTATTTATTTGTTACATTATGGAATATTCTGATACATATATATGCAAATATATACTTACATCGTGTACATTTATGCACATGTATGTATATCTTTATTTTGGGCTATTCTGGGGCATTTCTTATTTAATTTGTTAAATTGTTAAATTCAATCTCCCAGTATCCCTCCGCCACCATTAAATGTGAACTGTTGATGTTTTATTTTAATTGATACTGGGATTTTAAGTTTCTTTTATAAGCTTTTGTAATATTTATACTTCACATCCATCTTCTCACTCTAGAACATAGTATTTATTTCCACTTGTGTGAATCTTGTTTCATGAAATTCAGTGAGATATTGAATTTATTTTAAAAATAACTTTCTTTCCATAATTCCTGAGCCTTTCTTCTTAAAAGTAGTTTCCCACTTTATTTTATATCTTGCTTCCTGTCTATGCTATCATGACTAGAACATTCACCCCATATCCACTTTAAGGTTCTTATCACTAGTATTAAGAAAGGTTATTTTTTTAAAAGCCTTTATTTTTTAAATTTTTATTTCTATCAGTACTCATCAGGATGAGTTGGTGCATGTATATAACACATCTTCATCCCTCTTACTTTCCTTTCCCCTCTCCCCTCCTTCTTCCTTCTATCTCTTGGTTTCCTTCCCATGAAGAAAGATTGTTAATAGTTACCACAAAAATACTTTTCTTGGCTCCAGGAAGGTTGTTTTCTAACTAGAGTCTATTCTTTGTTACACAAGCAAACCACTAGCAAGAAGATTTAGCTTTTCTTTTCCAATGTTTACACGGAGTATTTCGTTTTTTAAATGTATTTACAAGAACTTATGTAATTATTTAAATGTTCTAATTTTCTTATTTTGAATAATTTTTGTTTAGTAAACTTCATTATAGTTAGGTGGTTATCTGATATTTATAATCATGTAATATATATGTATATAATGCATATGTAAAATATATTTTGGTGTTTTACTAGGGATGGCTACCAAAGGTAGCCAAATGACTTCTCAGTTTCATCTTCTATACTCTGATAAAATTAATGAGTTATGCTGGTAATTACCACTGATCCTAAAAGGCTTGAGTCTTGGAATAAGCTCTATTTAGTTGTCCTATATTTTTCCTTTCATGCTCCTACTTTAACCAACAGATTTGCCTTTATGCATAAATAAAATTTACTTACAGTTTTCTTTTTTGATGCCGTCTTTATGCCAACTACATTTTTAAATAATTGAAAAGCTCTCCATTACTTTTTAAGACAGAAGTCTTCGCTTGTATCTAAGAGGCACCTGGAGAGCTGTCTTAGGATACTAGTGTCTGTCACACCACGGGCTGATGGAGTAGGAGTTTCTTGTGGGGAAGCTTGGACATCATCAGTTTTTAAAGACCTGCAGGGCGCGTCTGTCATGCAGTTGAGTCTAAGAACCACTGTATGTGACTGAAAATTGTTTAAATACCGATGGAGCAAACGTTTTTACTTATGCTCATGTGCAGCTTGACTGCCAACCTCTCTGTTATGGGGATTTTTCTCAGGGGTAAATCTTTCACTTCTTTTTAGTGACTGACTGCTCCAAGTTTGCTATCTTGTCATGGATCATTTTATACTGTTTTTAAGAAATGAGGCATTTAATCTAGGTTATCAGAATTATTGTTATAGAATTGCACATGATATTCTCTCTTCTATTTCCTTCTCCTCTGTAAGATTGTTTTCTTTTTTATATAATTATATTTTCACGAGGTTTAGTCTTATATTTTAAAATTTGTGAGGTCTTGCAGTATAGCTTAATGATAGAACACTTATCTATCATATGCTAATGCCCTTAATTCAAATCTCACACTGCCAAAAGAAATAAAAGATTTTGAGTTTATTTTTTTCTGCTATGTATCCTTCCTATTCCATTAAATCTAACTTCAATCATTAATTTCCCCTCTAGAACTTTTTTAGTTTACTTTGTTCTTATTTTAACCTTTTATGTGTATAACAAGTTCCTTTATTGTTTTATCAGTCATTCTTTATAATGAATGTATTTCAGTCTATTAATTTTCTTCTAACTACAGCTTTTGTTGTTTTCTATAGACTTTAGAATAAAAATGTTTTCTCACTTATTGCTTTTTAAAAGATTGCATTTTATTGTCTGAATGTGTTTCTCAATTCTTAAGTTATTAAAAATAAATGAAATAATGAAGCACTTCTAATACTAAATTATGATCAGAGGGAACTTGAGAAAAATTTCCTTTATTTAATTTGTTGAGGTTTTCTTTATGTCCACATATATAATAATTTTCATGAAATCTTATGAAAATAGTATTTATTTTCTGTTCAAGTATGTTTCTTTATTAATCTGTTGAATTGAGTTGTAGATTGCACTATGCAATTTTTCCGTGTCCTTACTTATTGTTATTTCTATACTCAATAAGTGTATTGATTTCTTCAAACATACATGTGTTTATTTTATCAAGTTTTCATTGTTTTTCTAATACTTTTCAATTTTTGCACTTGGTGTTATCATGTGCTCAGCACTACAGTTAGCATTTTCTTTTTTTAAGCATGAATTCATTTATCAACTCCCATGACAGCCTTAGGCAAAAGTATAGTACTCCCCTAGCTTTTGGAGATGAAAAAGAAACACAAACACGAAACTACTTGTCCAAGATCCCAGAGTTGATTAGAAAGAGACACAAGGTTTGGATTCAGAATCTTGTTCTGGAGGTGGCCCTGTACCTGACCTCTGTGGCTAGGCTGGCACCCTTTCCTGTCCGTGCACCACATTCATGGCTAACACGAAGTCTCTGTCACTCATGTGACTTTCTCATATGACCACACACCTGAAGGCCCTGTGTGAGCAGTGACTCAAGCCAGGACTGTGCACACGCTGTGCTGAACTGCATTTCACTTGTGACTGAGAATGCGATTCACTTGCTGGTTCAGAAAAATCAAGTGAACCCCTACAGGAGTGCCAAGGTGGACAATACACTTGGCAGAGGGGTTCCTGCCCCCATGCAATTTGCAATCTAGTGGGAGAGACCAACAAAAACCATGAGAGGAGGAGGTGATGCATGCACAGAAGGAGAGACATGGTGCAGTAAACACCACATCAAAGTAAAGATAGTCAGCAGTGTTAGCTCCATTTGGCCATCCAGGAACAGCTTATGTGAATGAGAGGTGATGTCTCTGCTTTGACAAGGTAGGAAAGGGAACAATGCAGATATGTGGGTGATAAGTACTCTAGGCAGAATGAAAACCAAAGGCAGTGCTATAAAAGGAGCACCCTTCTTTCACGTCCAAGAGAGAACAAAGTGAGTCCCCAGAAAGCAAGAATGTGAGAAAAAGGTAAAGCAGGTTATAAAGGCATTAGGGACCCAGAGTGTTCCTATCTTTCTGGCTCCTTACCTCTAGCCCTGGCCCTATTTGCAAGATACCTGCTGGACTTCCAGCTATCTTTTCTACATTCCAAGTGGAAAAAAATGGGAATGGCAAGAGGCAAAGGAAACTCACCTGAACTTATTTAGCACTTCCCCCAGAAAGGTCTCTTGGGAGCTCCACCAAGGGTATCTGCTATCCTCTCTTAAATCACTCCTAACTACAGGAAGGCTTGGGCACATTATCACTCCAAAACTTCACATGAAATCAGATTGCTTTATCAAACAAGAAGGGAAGACTGAATATCTGACAGATGACTATGAGACTCTGGCATATCAAATGGCCTTGCAATAGATTTCTGTTTTCCTTTAGCTGGTTCAGAACAGACTCCTTGAATGTGTGGTGATAGAGATTTGAGAGACACTGGAGCAAGTGACAGTGGGTTGAGACCGAGGTGCAGAGCAGGGTGACAGTCGGGCCAGGGTGGGGTTGGGGTTTTGGGGCTGAGCGTGATAATGTGATGACCTGGAGTGACAGGCAGGCTCTGTGACAGAGGACCTTGGAGCAGCTGAGGAGATCAGAGAGAATAAAATAAAGGCTATTTGTACAAAACAATGTTAAGATTTAATGTCATTTGCTTTGAATTACTCTTTTGTCAGGGTAGTGCATTTGAACTGTTTCCTTCTTGGACTTTTCTCTGACCTGAGCCGCCTCAGACCCTGTAACATCCACACACGAACAGTTGAGGTTCATTAATTATTGCTTGAGAAAACCCCCAATGACAAAGGAACTGCAATGAATTCAGAAGCCTTTTTCATTTCTAGATCCCAATAGCAGTTATACACATCTGGAAAAAACAGATCGAGTTATTTGTTCAGCCAACGGTGACACGATGTGCACATGGGATCAGACTCCTCCAACAGCTGCCTGTCACGTGAAGGTCAAGAAGTATCCCAGGGTCCTGGCCTGGGTGACATCTTCGCTATCAGCCTGCTAAGACTCGTCTTGTCCTGTCACTCTAGCAGCCACCCTGTCCCTTCACCACTCTCCTTGCTTTCCAAAACTACTTGTTTATATATGCAGTTGTTTACTTACCTGGGTTTTTGTACTCACCGGAACACAAGCTCCTGGCAGTAAGGACTTGGTACAGCTGATTCTTAGTGGAATTCCCATGAATTCTCATCCTGAACTTTGTCTGAGGTATCTAGTAGGTTAGTAAATATTTAGCCAATGTGAGCTCTTAACGTCTGCAGTGTAAGGTGGAGTATGGGGTTAGAACTCAATAAATGCCATCTCTCCTCACGCACTTACCCCTACTGCCACCACTGTGTTTATTATCGATGGCACCAATGAAAGCTTGGAACATGCCCCACCTGGGGCACAACAAATTTTAAAGATGAAAATATCTGCCCATCTAATCTGAGACATGGGTCCGGAGTGCGCCTGTTTCCACACATCAGAGGGATTGACAGTCTTGTGAAGATTGAGATCTCACTGACTCAATGTGTGGTTCAGATGGAGGTCAGTTTAGCCCTCATGCAGCCTAGTGGTTTCTGGGTTTTTGCATCTGGGGTCCCCCCCCCCCCCCCGCCCCGCGCCTCTTCTCTCCAGCGCCCTCTACCACCCCATCTCCTCAGTGTAGGTGAGATTTCCTTTGGCACACCGAATGGCTTTGCCTAGGACCCCTGCTTTTCCTCACTCTGCAGCTCTTTTATAAGGAAACTGCGGTCAGAGGAAAGTTATTTGATACCTAGAGCTCCCTCTGCTGATCCACTGGGTAGGTGACTCGCCTGAGTGCCTGCGTTCTGCAGAACCAGCAGGGCGTCTGGCGGTTGTCTACACCTGTGGGCCATCAGAGGCCACTTCCTTCCCTTGCGTGAGTGGGGGTGGGAAACAGGTGATGCCTGACCACAGCTGGTGTACCAGCAGGGACTGCCGGGACCTTCGGCATCCTGGCCCCTCCGACCTTGGCATGCCTTGCAGTCTGGGAGCTTGCAGGCACTTGTTGCTGCCCAAGATTCCTGGGGTGGGGGGCGTAAAGGGTTCTGAGCACGACGCTCAGGCAGATGCTCAGAAACAGGTGAGCCACCTGTCTAAAATTTGTCTTTAGGCAGAAGTGAAACTGAAGGGGGAGTTTCATAAAGGTCTTTTAAGTACAAAGTCAGGGAAATAGGCTAAGTTTGGGTGAAAACAGACTCCAATAAACCAACCAGAAACAAACACATGATTGAGATGAAAAAAAAAAAAAAAATTTCACTAAATTTACTCTTAGTCTGAAGTTTATTTAAATTCACAAAGATGTATGTCAAGCTCTAGTTCTTGGGTGGTCCTGGAGCCCTAGGGTCCCAGCACCCCAGGGCGGCAGGGCCTCAGGGGAGGGGTGTCTACCTGTCTTTCTTCCCTTCCTCCTCCTTCCTCTGTCCTTCTCTTACTAGCTCCCTCCCTCCTTTCCTCCCTCCCTTCCTTCTCTCTTTTCTTTTCAGACTGGGAATTGAACCTAGGGTCTTTGTAGCGATCTATTTCTTCAGGTGGCTCAAATCTGTGGCCCTCCTACCCCAGCCCTCCACTCTGCTGAGATTACAAGAACTGTGGCCCCAAGCCAGGCCACAATCATTTCTTCACAGAGCAGCCTGAGACCAGGCAGATACTTTCATACTGCTGCTAGTCAATGCCCTCACATACATAAAATAGATGACGCCCTGTTATCTACAATACCCTGCCCCTCCACAGCAGAATTGAGAGAGACACTATGTTCCTGTACCTTTCCCAGTGGAGAAACACAGGTTCTGAGATGTTGAACAAACTGCTTAAAAAATCACATGTGGAAAAAGGAACTAAGATGCCGTCTGTCTGTGGCTTCTGAACACCTGGTGAATTGGGTTCCTTGTCAAAAAGCTTCCTGCTCCTTCTACCTGCCCTGCACTCTAGAATTAGTGTTCACAGCCAACCTGCACTGCAGAGTGCCATGCACTACAGAGAGTAACTCGGGCCTCAGCCTGGGGAACACCTGCAATCTCTCCCCAAGACAAGGTCTATGGTCAGTGTTTTTCCCTCCAAAAGGCCTTTATTCATTGCTCTGATACTTCTGGACACTCATCACTGATAAATGCCCCACTGTGAATAATAAAATGAATAACTTCTGACACTTACTGAGTGCTTACTATATGCAAGTTTCAGTGGAAAACAATTTACCTGGGTCATATCACTGAATCCTTCCAAGGAATGGGATGAAGTCTTGATTTTTTAACCTCATTTTATAAATGAAGAAACGAAGGTCAAGTGAGGCTACAATTCTCCCCGGGAAAGCCACAGAACTGAATAAAGACTGATGGTGTAGCTCTTACTCCTTAGCACACTGGCCCACCACTGCTGTCCATGTCCCAGTCTTGTCCCTTGACCCACTGGTCAGCTCCTCAAGGGCAAGCACCGTTTTATTTTTCTGAGTTCCCTGTAGTAACAGCTCAAAGCTTAACACTGGGCAAAATCACTTGTTCACCAGGCAAGATTTGGGGTTGCGGAGGGGATTCCACAGATCAGCTGGACCTTCTTTACAGCTCTGGCTCCCCATCAAGTGAGCATAGGAATCAAATCTACAAAGAAAGGTTCTTCTGAGAATATTTTTCATCCCTGTATTTTGCTTGCTCAGCATGCTGCATGGCACATAATAGGGTCCCATATATCTTTGTTGAATAACTGCATGTATGAGCTTTAAAAATCCTAAAGAATCTTGCTGCTGAGGCCAGGGCAGCTGCCAGAGTCTCAGGAGGTACTTCCTGTTCTGTCTACACAGCAAACCAGTGGGCCTCATTTTGTACCCATTAAAGGCTGGAATACTGAGAGGTTGCTTCTGCAAATTTGGGATACCCCACCATCTGCTGTTTCCAGGGATTCCAGCTCTCCCCAAACTAACTGTATCCTCTTTTATGGAGATAGACCTCCTAGACCCACCCAGGGGACCCCTCCTTGACCCTAAGCCATGTGCTGTTCAGTCCTATCTTCACTCCACTCCCCACTTGGGAGATATTTAAAGTGCCATTCATCTAGGGTCAGGAAGATGATCCCAGTTGACCTCTGGATCTCACCCTCCTTATCATCTATCTTGGGTGTTTTTTCATCTGACAAACCTCACATAAGCTGTTTATAGCGTCCATAACCTTTGCAGAGCTTTTAAACCTCTTTCTTTCATGGATTTTTATGAGTCAAGATAAACAAACATTGCTCTTTCTCCAGGGACTTGAAGCTCCGGATCCTTAACCTCACTCCTGAAGCCCAGGGTCCCTGAGGGAGTGGAATCACAGCCACAGCCCCGAAGGACTCAAGTTAAATGAGTCATGTGGAGGTTACATCTTTCCTGCTTAGTGAGGAAAGGCGCAGAAACTCCAAGCAAAGGTGGGCCAGGGGCAGGACAATGGGACTGGCAGCTCTGGTTAGACATAGAGGGAGAGGTCACATATGGTTCTTGGGAATACCTCCTCCAGCCACTTATTTAGCACTAAAGAAACTGAAGTCCCAGGAGAGGAGTTAACACACCTAAGGGCATGCAAGTTCATGAGCTGGGGGGCATCTGCAACCCTGTAGCTGCCTCTTCTTCCCATTGGGCAGTGGTCCCTATAGAGCACTCAAGTGGTTGCATGGACTGTGGCCTCCCCCAGTGTGAACTTAGCCAAGCTACACAGCACATTCTACCTTTCTGGCCAAAGTGATTGGTTTAGGAATGCCCTAAGACCTAAAGATGTTTTGATCCCAGAGAATCTTTGAAACTTTATGGAGAATTAAGGAAAATATTGATATTTTTTCTTTTGGGCTACAAATGGAAAAAAAAATACCAGCCATTCAGCAATTGAGTTCAGGCATCTTGTGATGCCCCCAAATGGTGTAGGTACAAGGGGCAGCAGACAGGAGAGATGGAAAGAGAAGAATTTCTAGTTGATAGCTCTGACTTACTGGATCAAGCCTCATCTGAAATCTTTACACTGAAATGTTCAGCTACATGATCCGCTAAAGTCTATTTTTAAGACAGAATATGCATCTTATTTGAGGTCACAATATTTCTAATTGATGAACAGATGCCAGGGGAGTAGTGGCCCTAGAAATTTGCCTAGAAAATTGGCTCATTGTTGGGTAAGGTAAGGTCTCTGAGTCTGACCATGTAACTAGTTAGGCTGTAGATGTTCCTAAGGCTGACTCCAGTCTGGGGTTTAGAATCTTTAAGAGCTGGCACTTTTTACCCCTACATCATGGAGATAGACTGGCTAAATCCTTGGGTCTAGAAAGCATTTTTAACTGAGCATGGTGATACATGCCTGTAATCCCAGGGGTCTGGGAGACTGAGGCTGGACGATCCCAAGTTGGAGTCTTCCTAGGCAACTTAGTGACTTAGCATGACCCTGTCTCAAATTACATAATAAAAAAGAGTTAAGGCTGTAACTCAGTGCAAAGGCTCTGGTCCCCACTTCTGTGAAACTGTAGTGCTTTCTGCACTTCTCAATAGGGAACTAGATGCCACTACCTTCTAACAACCTGTGTTTGCATCTGGCTCCCCTGAGTCACACAGCCTGATGAAGGTAAGATTTAAGTGTTCCTTACCTTGGTATCCTGTCCCTGGTCTGGTCTCTGATACTCGGTATGTACTCATGGACACTTGTTGAGTGGATGGAAGGCTGCTTCTTTTGCCACTGCCCACTCACCCTCAGATTTAGTCACAATAAACTGCAGTTTCTGTCTTTTAGAAAGTAGGATGAAGAAGCACAGTGTACAAGATGCAGAATATTGGCTCCAAGTCACAAATAGGATCTGATCCGCTGCTGTAGTCCCATAGGGCTAAGTTTGGATGCAACACTGACACGGACCTGTATGCTTACCATTGTGTTGCTGCATGGGAAATGCTGGGCCAGAAGACAAGGGAGGGAAAGACCAGACATGCTGAGTCAGAGAGGGCTGGGGATGAAATTCGAGTTACTGGGGATCATTCTGTCCAAACTCTCTTGGTGGGAGGAGGAAGCTTAGGGCCAGGGAGGCTTTGGCATGTCAAGGTCATTATAAACGCCAGCCTATGTGGGAAAGAACTTTTTTTTACTAAATTAGACCGTTCCCTGGACTTGGGCCCTCTGCAGCCACCTAGGCCACCGCGGGATAGGCAGGAAAAGAGCCAAAGAGCTGGGCAGCTCGGTCCAGGCCAGACTCTGGAGCTTGCAGCCTGAGGAGGTGGAGAAACTCCCTCTGCCACTTACTTGCCAACTGGATTTGGAGTCTCCTAGTTTGTGATTCCTTGGGGACCAGAGAAGTGACTCAGAAAGTACTTAGTACATTGGCACTGGGGAAACAGGGGCGTGTGACTCAGGAGTCACTCACAGCGCTGCGCAGATTAACCCTGAAACTCATTCAAAGCCTCCTCTCCTTCAAGCCAGGCATCCAGACACCTGACCACACAAACTGGGACCTTCCTTTGGCTTTGCCACTCCTGAACAGCAGCGCTCTTTGGTCTCTATCTTCCAGTCCGTCCACAGCAGGTCCCGGGCAGAGGAGCTTAGGTGAGGCGCCTCCTGCGCCCCTCTCTGCCT